GGGGGGGGGGGGCGTAGGCATCCATTGTAATTGAGAGAGGGCAAAAAAAGGACACACCCCTTCAACCCCTATTGGTTGTCAACTTCAGGTTTTTTATTTATTTTTATTTTTTTATTGTGTCCCACCCTCAATCCCCCTTTTTTCATCATCTGCTTATGAAACTTCAATCTAACCCATGAGATATGCTGTCTTTCCTTTTTTTGTATTGTTATTTTTCCTAAGTAGTGATCAAAGAAAGAGGCATAATTTCTTTCTATAACCATGCATGTAGGAGTAATGTCACTGACTCTCATTTGACCACTAATTTAGGGGAAAAACATAACTAATTTCGGAATATTAAAAGTAATAATGTATAACTAATTTCAGTGAAATGGATTCACTGATTCTGTCCGTGCAGGAATATGAGAACCCGATCAAAACCAACCCCGTCTTTCATCCTGTTAAGTGAGTTGCATTCTTACCCCCTCACCGTTACCTGCCATCCTCCTCCTCCCCAACCTCCCCTCTCTCCTCCTTCCCCCTAGTTCTACTTTATATGTGGGACATATTCATTGACATTTACCAATGTGAAATAAATTAATGGTTTTTGGATTGTATTCTCAACACTGTTACCGAAGGCAGCAATTTCTGTTTTTTCCTTTGTTTTTTTGCTCGAAATTGTACTTTTATGAACAAAGCCCAATGACCAGTGATTCAAAGGCGGTAATTTCTGCATGAGCTCCGATTGCGAGGCTTGAGCTGTTATGGGGCCCTTCCAGACATGCAAGTGTTCTGGGCTGTGGCCCCCAACAAGCATTGTGACCGCCCTAAGTGAAGGCGGTCCTGAATATCCATGAGAGGCCTACTTTCGACATTTTCCATACGTGAGTATTAGATAGTTGCAGCACGCGAGCGATGTGAGCCTCTCCTGGCACTTTCCAGACGAAGCAGTTGTGACGTGCAGTTGAGCCCAGGGCTCGGGTGGTTGCACCTTGGGCACACGCAAGGTCGACACATCACGTAGTGGCCGCGGGGGAATGAGAAAGCAGCATTGTCGTCACACATGCACTGCGAGCCAATGAGAATGCAGCAAACACTTGGAGCCTGCACTAATGGTTAATGACCACCTGAAATTTCAGAATTAAAAATTCTGAAGTGGTTTGAAACCTTTGAAATGGCCTGAAGGCAATTCAGGTCATTTCAAGAGTTTCGTCCGGTTTGGGGCTCCATTTTTATGGGTTTTTTCTTTTTTGCCTGTTTTTGTTTTGCTTTAACGTTGCTGTGCGTCACCTGAAATGACCTGAAGTGGCTGAAGCTTCTAAAAGCGGTTTCAGGTCCCCCCATCTAAATGGTTGGACGGGGGCATCGGAAACCACTTTCAAATTTCAGCCACTTCAAGTTTTTTCAGGAGTTTCAGGTGGGGAGCTGAAACCGTTGTAATGACCTGAAGTGGTTGAAGCTTCTGAAAGGGGTTCCAGGTACCCCCATCCAACCATTTGGATGGATGGGGGGACTTGAAACCACTTTCAGATTTTCAGCCACTTCAGGGTATTTCAGGAGTTTTAGGTAGGGACCTGAAACTGCTGTAATGACTTGAAGTGGCTGAAGCTTTTCAAACGGGTTTCTGATCCCCCCATCCAACCAACACCTGTCTGAAGCGGCTGAAAGTGACCTGTAAATGACATATGTTGTTAACCATCTCTCGGAGCCTAGAGGGCTGCCTGGATGTGCCGAACTGTAAAGGGCCCAGACCCGTAACAGTAAAAGTGGTCCTGGGCGCAGACACTGGGGGCCGGCTGGAAGCTACTGGAAATTCGTCCAGCCAGGCCCCCGCAGCCCAACACAGGGCCGCATTTTCCATAACAGAAAGTGCCTTGCCTAGGTAGGGGCATTTTGGCCCGAGCAGGCAATGCGGCCACACTGCTGCTAAGTTGCGCTATGCTGGCAGGCCAGGGCGCACGTGCGAAGAAGGTGAGAGGGCGCTGCGGTAGCAGCGGGCGCGTGGCGGCCATAGCCGGGCCGAGCATGCCGGTGCAGGTGATGGCGATGGTGGCCTTTGGGTAGGAGGCGTGAGGTGGGGTGATTGGGGTGATGAGGGGAGGAGAGAGAACATACCTGGTGTACGCTGGCGGTCTGCATTGGTGATGGCATCAGGTACAATGGTCTTCAACTTCGATGTGATCCAGTCGCATGAACATACATAGGATAGATAGGCTGATTAGTGTGGGCTGGGCGATCGACGCAAGACAATAGGAGCGACATTGGATACAGTGTTGGTATGACTAGAGAACGTCGACATCGGCACTCGAGTTCATTATATTGCTCTTATTTGGATGGTATCTTGGTGCATTGTGCTCTATGCCTGGCACATGACTATCTGGACTACTTCGTGATTTTGCAACTTGGATTTCTGTCTATCTCTCTCACTCATGTTTCTTGCACGATAGCGTTTTAGGGACATCTTGTTGAAAATTTCTCTATGTTTTGCTTCCTTTGCGCTAATGCCCCTGCATTTGCGATATTTGTCAGTTCAACCCCAATACAGAAAAGGTAGTAAGATACAATTTTCTGTAATGAATACCCAGTCGAATATTTCCTCCTCCTCCTTTTTGTGAATCCTTTTCTGACGATCGGTCAATGTGGATTGGTTCTACTTTCCCTCACTGGAAACCCCTCAGTGAAAATCCACTGTTTTTATCTGTTCAACATCCAAAAATGCAGACATATTAAAGAAAAACAAAAATCAACGGATATATTTCCGATAAAGTGATGCATGCATGGTCACCATCTGGAGTTGGTTATCTTGAAGAGCTGTCTGGATCTCTGTCTAAATCCTGTCTGGATCTCTCTTTGGATCCCTGTCTGGATCCCTGTCTGGATCCCTGTCCAGATCCTGTCTGGATCGCTCTTTGGATCGCTGTGTGGATCCCTCTCTGGATCCTTGTGTGGATCCCTCTTTGAAAACCCCTTTATTGGAAGTTCACAAAATACTGGGGGTGGTCCAGTGTGAGGGTGGTTATATGTGGCTTGAGCATTTTTTAGGGGCATTTTGGTCATGCTGTGCTGACTCTGTGCCTCTCCTGCCCTCTGCCCATCCCCAACCCCACCCCTCCTCCCCCTCCCCC